GGTGCCCCAGCCAGGCGATTCCACGGGCGCTCTGGCTGCGGGGCCAGCCCTGGCCCGAGGTCACCGGTCCCCGCCATTTCTCCTGAGCGCGGCCGTAACTCCGCTCACTGCACAGCTCACCCAGGAGTGCCACGCGCAGTCCCCGGGAGACCTTGGTGCGCCTCCACAGCGCGCCGAGAAGTAGTGGAATGTCAAGGACCAGCATTTTCTGGTGACGCTCGGAGGCCCTCGAGCCCATGAGCTGCACACCAGTGTCGTCTAGCCCCGCAGGGTCTTATGTGGACCTTGAGATGACGGGGCCCGGGTCACTTCAGAGGTGCCCAGCCCCGGTGCACAGGCTGCCCTGGCCCTGCAAGGACAGCCAGCCTTGCCTCCTGGCCTCGCCAAGCGCCGAGGGGACAGCAAGGAGCTATGTCCAGCTCCTCTAATGACTCACGTTCACCGTCCTCGGCTCCTGCTGGCCAGCTCGCTCACCCTGGGCTCTCTCTCAGAGATCGACGAGTGCCAGTCTCAGCCGTGCCAGCATGGGGGCTCCTGCCAGGACGGCGTGGCCGGGTTCCTGTGCCTCTGCAGTCCAGGCTACGAGGGGGTGCACTGTGAGCGGGGTAAGACACGGCCTGGCCCCTCGCGTGGCAGCTGCCCCCTGGCCACGCAGCCCGACCACAGCCCTCGGTGCAGCTGCTCCTCCCCGGACAGACCCCTACGAGGCCAGGCCGACCACTCAGGCCCCTCCGGCTGACCCAAGGTGGAGGTGCACGGAAGACTCGGAGGCCACCTGGGAAAGCTGACCTGGCCTCCGGCGGAGGAGGCGAGGGAGGGGGAGGGCAGGCCACAGCCTGACACCGGATCTGGGCACGCCCTGCTCCACTAGGGTGCTAAGCTCTGAGACAGAGGCGCTGACCAGGGAGCTCAGGGCCAGGAGTCGTGTCCAGCCACGGCGCCTTGGAGCAGCGTGGACTGGGGGGCCTGGGCTGGGCTTTGCCGGAGGAGCATGAGTGTGAGGCTGGTGGAGGCCGAGTCTGAGCGCCGGGCTGCACAGCGGGCGCCCACTGAGTGCAGGCCCCGGGCTGCATGGAGCCAGGGCCAGCGACACCGTTCTCCATGCAGAGGT